GAGACGAAGATGCAGGCCTTCCATCGCAGCCTGAGTAGAGCGTTTTAGGAGGCAGGGAAAATCTCAAAACATGTAGAGATTCATGTTTTTACCTCACGCTCGAACGAGGGAATCGATTCCCGAGAACAAGGCCATCGACGTCTTCATTCGATCCCTGGAGTATTTTCGAGTTGTCCGAAATTCTCGGAGTCCAAACCCAAGGTTCTGCATTCTTGAACTCTATGAATCATAACTCATAACATTCATCCATTCATCTGGGTGGCTGCCGGGCTAGCTCGCCGGCCGGCCGGCCGGCTGTCTGACTGAGTGAGTATAGAAAATGGGCGTGCCTTTAGTCGAGGCAGCTACTACCGGTCTTCTGATAACAGCATCCACTGGCAGTATTACCATAGCCACCCCACCAAACCGCATCCACTGGGCTAAAGAGCTGCCATACAGTGAGGCAACGGCGACCAATGGCAGCGCGGTGCCTCTCGGCTCGTGTCCCGATTGGTCCAGACGTGCCCAGCAGCGCTGGTGATGATCAGGGGATCGCCTCAAGGGGTAGCCGCTCCGGCTACGCTTGACGACGACTACAACAACGACGACGAGGATGCCGCGACTCGCGGCAACCCTCAGTATAAACTGTGTATGAGCCTGCGATCGTCCCCCGCGCCACAGTGGATGCGCGTCCGCAGCTCAACTCAATGGCGGTCGTTTGCGAGTCGCGAAACAGCTGAACAAACAAGCATTTTTGACGATCGGTCTCTTATCAAACAGCGAGTCCGCGGAAGATACTGAATTAAAGGAAATTTGATAGTCTTGTCCGATTTGATCATGAATTCTCGAAAGCTCGATATATTGATTGCTCCGGCGCGCGGCATACAAAACCCTGAGAGGGGTTTCAAAGATTCGAGCTGAGCAGTGAGTAGCGGTCTGCTGTCGGTAGGTAGGTAGGTAGGTTGCTACGGCTTGGGGCTGCGCGCGAAGGGGGCGAGCGAGAGGGAAACAGGAGCCAGGGGCACCGAGTGGACCTTGATGGAGATGTATTGAACGACGTTTCCGCGTCGAGTAGGGATGAGAGAGCAGCTAAGAAAGAGCTGAAGGGAGGAGAGCGATTCCTACTGGTCCACGCGGAATATAGAGAACGGAGGATGCTTGTCACTTCCTCCGGTCATGGAAAACGATAGCTTGATTTTCACACATCTGAGGAGATACAATTTCCGTTCTCGTACAAACATCTCTCTCTTGAGCCGTCAATCCGGAATGTTCAGTGATCCGCAGCATGGCATCGTATTGAATCTTTTGAGCTGGACTGCATGACCCGCGGATCGCGGATTTGTATAGCCCGATTGGAACTAAAATTGCCCTCAATTAATTCCAGGCTCTTCCAGACGGAAGCACGACGGGAGATCTGGTCATGAGCAGAAATTCTTGAGGAGGCGGCTGTCCGACCCTCGTTATCGGTGAGAAGGTGAGATGCTCAAAGAGCCTTATGGATGAGTCGATTCTCGATTTGCGAGGATATGATGTCCGTGCGTCGCAGATCTTGGGTACCAGCTCGTTGTGCAGACGAAGACGAGTCCGTCGTTTTCTTTCTATGAAGGAGCCGTGGTGTACCCATTCGATGAATTTTTATATGAAAACTGGCCGAGATCGAGTTTCGTCCGAACTTCGTCGAGGGTGATGCGCGTCTCGAGTCTCGAAATTCTCTAGCAATCTTCGAAACCCCATCTACCGACCAGCTCGAGCCGACTGACTAGCACCGAGACTCGTGGGATGCTCGCTCGTCTCCCCTGACGCACGACGACGAAAGGAGTCCTCAGAGATAGAAGTGCTCCGATTTTGCTTCAGCCTCCGATGCTCGCATGCTCTGCTCACAATGAACCGGTGGGAGGGTGGACTGGCTCGCTGGTGATGCCTCGCTCGGCCGCTTGCTCGGTTTCTACATGCACTCCTCTCAGAAGACTCAAACCATTTGGATGGCTGTCATATATGACTGACAACATAGCTTCCCTCTGAGCTTAGCTCACCACACACCACAGGAGGACGCGCGTTACTGCCGATCTCTCGAGTTCGGGGAACACGTCTGCTCATTCCCGTATCCCAGATCATTGTGAATGTGACGGGACGGCGCAGATCCAACGATGTAGCTTGGCATCGAGCGATCATCGGAGGAACTTCTCTCAGAATCACGTTTTCCATCACGAGTCTGTAGTAGGTACCAAGCCGCCGTATCTGCTTGCTGGAGGGGTCTGCCGACAATTTTGGAGCGTTGATGATGGCTAACGCCGGTTATCGTTCTCGATCTGGCGGCGATCAGAAAGACAGAGTTATCTCGCTGCGCACCAACATGCGATCCGAGTCTCCCTGCGATGACGAGTCTCAGTCTCCAGTTGTTGATTTGTTTGCTCAAGTTTGAGGTTGCTTCGAAGCGAAAGTACGCTTCGGACCTGACTGACGATCTGACGACGGTTCTTGAGCCCGGGTTGGCCCTTTGTTTGAAATCGCAGTCGGACCACGAACGGATCCGCAGTCGGAGAGCACGATGTTCATCCAGTAGTGGATGGATCCCGTTTCGCCGGGACCAGAATAATGAAAATCGGTTCCAAAATCGTCCGATCGTAGAAACTCGCTCCACACCTGGATAACCCCTCCCAGAGATGGAAGCATTGTCCGCGATACTTCGCGATAACCCTTCATGATCATGACGACGATTGTTTCGGAGATACATATCCCTACCGGGAAATGACCAAGGTGTAGCAGAAAGCTCTCAGAATGCCACGAATGGGAAAACCGCAGCGATATCTCCCCGAGCACTCCTGGGACGATTATCGGCGGTATCCCCTTGCGTGTATCCATGTCTTAGCCCTTCGACTCACGAGATTCACCCATACGCCATACGCTATAGCGGCTGTCCCCACGCAGATTCTCGGTCCTCAGATCAAAACCAAGAGGAACTGACAGCGGATGACGCAAGCTTGACTCCGCCCATTAGAAGCAAGCAAGCGCCCAACCAAGCATCTGTACAGCAGGCAAGCTAGCCCGCAGGAGGGACCGCTGCTCGAGTCGATTCTGGAGTCGTCGGCGTCGTCCTTATCCAAGAACCACATCCAGGTGCCCCGCGGGAGCCAACGAAGGGAAATGCTGCAGCTTATCTATATCGGGCATATTTTTCTAGACTCTCGCTGACTCGCCGCGGTGTTCCGCCCGCACTCCAATTTTCAAATTATTCCACATACGAGTCAGACTCTCCATCGACTCTATCGATGCACCGTCCCTGTCCGGAAACTCGGTCTTCTGCGGTGCTATTCCGATGTCTCGCAGATCGCAGCCTTACCCAAAGAACTGTGAACCGAAAGTGAAAGTCGTCAGCAGTGACTCGGTCAATCGAGGCGCCGACGGTCAAGAAGGGAACACAAGCCAAGGCAGCCGCTTTCGTCAGCCGGCGATACGGTGCGTCCATCCGCTCGAGAGCAGCCGCCGCTGGTTTTTCTCCTTCGCGTGGTGGTTGTTGAGTACACCACAACAATTCTATCGAGCAGAGAGACTCGTGGCGCCGCCTGGGGAGTTAGATTCGAAACAAGGTCGCGTTTTCTGAGAGCTTCTGTTTATTGCTGTTCGTACAGCTGCTGCTGCGGCTGATTTCTGTTTCGAATGCAAGGAGATTCATGTTTCTCGTTTCTGTATTTCGGAAGGCGGAAACCTCCACGTCGGGCTTCGAGAATCAATGAATGCAGCTAGGAACTCTCCTGACCCACGAACGTCCCCCTTCCCTCGGGGAATCCGGTAGCCGGAAGCCTGAAATTCGCAGAAGCTACCCTCGCTGGAGCAGGAGCCATCCGACATGGGACATGGCGTTGGAAGAATTTCCGGACTTTCAAGCTCCGATAGAGATTCCTCGGCGGTAATAAACATTCAAGGCGCCTGCGGCAAGGCACAAGACAATGGCAGCGAGGCAGGTCCTCTACGCGCTAGATGCAACCCCATCGAAGTCTTGCTTCGGGCACAAGATCAATCAGATTGGAAACGTCCCCTCACATTCCGAGAGTCGAAATCAATGAATCATCCGCTTCCAAAATCATAATCTTCCGACTTTCTGGCTTCGAATTTCAATATATGCGTGCCTATCAATGGGTGTCCCTTTCGTTCTGGCTGATGCCGCGAAGACGATTGTGTCGGGGTGAGCTTCTTCCAAATTCTCCCTCTACAGCCGCCCCCTACAGCAGCGGCAGCGCCGCTCGTTGTTGTCATCGGTGGCTGCTGTTGGTGGATCGCTCCCTCGTTCTCTCCATGTTCTATCTTTTACCATCCACCCATATTCCGCCGTTTTCTCTCTCATTCTCGGAGACTCGCTCTTTCTCGACCCTCCATACATACACAGCTCTAACTCTATGTGATGGTCGTTGCCGCTGCTACCGCTGCCGGTAGTTTTGAGCTCAGCAGGCGGAGGGGAGGGAGATGGGCGGAGCTTGAGATTCGGCAGCCGCACCGTTGGCCGCCGTCGCTGCCTCATTCGCCGCTGCTGGCGGATCAGTGAGCCTTGTGAAATCGTTTGTGATTTGTTGCTGTTACTGTGTTCACGATGATCGCGCCGGTGTCCAGACGCTGTTCGTGTGCACGCTAGTGTTTTATCGGAGGGCAGTGATGCCGCTCGACGCTGCGAAAAGCGTGAATGTGTCCCAGTGCAACAGATCTCTGTCTGACGCCGCACCGTGACAACGAATACGAACCCAATTACTGGATCGTTGTAGCGAGCTGTCTCGCCAGTGCTCTGCGAGTTTGATGAAGCAAAACTCGAATACTCGAATCCAACGACCACATTTGGGTTTCCTCGTGGAGAATCCGAAAATTTACGGTCACCACAGGTTGCGTCGGTGCTCTTGCTGCTTGACTTGTTGTCGTCGGTGGTGTGACTCCCGCTGCTAGCGATGGTGCAGTTTGGATTTCCAGCGCCTGCCCTCTTGATGGGAGTCAGATACAGTGAGGGAAGATGTCTCTGAGGAATATGACTGCTTCTGATGGTCGTAATAATGGATTTACATGAGAAAGTGTGGGAGGTGAGCTCTATCGATCAGTTCGTCGCCGTAAGTAGTGTATAAGACAGCTGGAAAGAGCCATCATCGCCAAAGAACTATTCCCTGTTTTCTCTTAATCGCCACAAAGTCTCTGTTCAATCATTCGGTGTTCGCATTATCTCCACCACGAAACATAATGAAATAATTCATCCGTATAATTACTCTGACAATTTCCAAGCCTCACTATGCTGAGCTACTTTCGTAGCGGACATAATCGTGTAGGAGTCTGCAAGCGTTCCGATCGCGTCGTTCCATTCAAGCATCCTTGTTGCAGGAGATGATCCTTGATAAGAAGATGAAGATGCTCAGTGTACTTCAATCGCAGACAAAGTCGGCGGCACCTGCTTCCATAAAGGATGCGCCGGGCAATGTCAGTATCTGCAGCGATGGAGGGAATCACAATGGCGTCACAATGGAAAAGGACAAGGATGCACCTCCATCAGAGGAAACAGCAACGGACAACAACAACGTGGTCGCCCTCAAGCGCCGACGCGAAGAGCGCAAGGAATTCCAGAAGGACAAACGGAGATGCACCATCGAGATCAGGCGCCAGAGCGGACCCACTGCCTCATCTGATAAACGAGAGGTTGGTTCCCTCTCACGCTTAACATGATTCCTCTTGATTGCTCCTCAGAGAGTGCTCCTTCCGAAGCTTAAGTTGCTCCGTTCGCAGAGACAGAATCGTCGGGCGCATTCGGAGCCTCGTGAAGAAGCCGCAAATGCACCAAAAGACAACAATCTCATCAGCATCAACAGGGATTCGCTCCGGGAGAAGGTTAACAAGGATGTGAAAAACCCCAAGATCGAGGAGGATTCTCGCAAAGAACAAGCTGTGCCGCCGCCCCTCCCAATCTACCCCATGAAGAAGGCGAAGCTCGTTGATGTCAATGATCATTTGACGTGTCCTCTATGCCATGGGTACTTTGTTGATGCTACGACAATCGTGGAATGTCTTCACTCATGTGAGTATTCCGTAGCAAGCCGAGATCTATGAAAACTGTGGCCAAACGTAGACTCGGATAGATACGGTGGATACCCAGCGTCAGAACCGTAAATTCTTTCCACTGCTCGACCGTCTTGTGCTGTAAGTTACTAACATCAAATCTTTCTTGCAGTTTGTCGTACTTGCATCATCAAACACCTGAGCAAGAACCAATTCCCATTCTGTCCTGTGTGCAAGTTTCAACTCGCGGGTACCAAACTGCACCAATATCTTCGCAGTGATTCAACGCTCCAGGACATCGTATACAAACTAGTTCCTAGTCTTTTCCGTAATGAAATGAAACGAAGGAGAGATTTCTACGCCAATACACCTCTTTCCCGTGAGTTTCTGTCCTCTGATTATTGCCCTTCCCTGTACATGATGTTCGCCTGACGGATCAAGAGCTGTGCCGGTTCTCTGAAGGATGGTAACCATATCTGAATTTTACCCCGTTTCCTATTGCAGCGAAGAGTCCAAACTACACGAATCTTTCTAGTGAGGAGAAAGGCGATTTGATCAATGTGGACAGGTTGATCTTCCACGAGTCTGACACGATCTCAGTTCTGCTAGAGTACTGCCCCAAAGACTTGGCTGTTCGGCAATTTCACCTACGCCCCCATAAACAGCCAGAGATCAGCTATGGGAAAAGGTTCATGGAATGTCCTGGAGCTTTCAAGATCAAGTGCCTGAAAAAATTCCTCAGGGCGAAACTTGGCATTGTCAAGAAGGAAACGGTCGATATCCTCTACATGCAAGACATCCTCCTGGATGACTTCAGCATGGTTGACATCGCGTACATTTATGCCTGGAGAGCGAACGAGCCTCTCAAGCTGTATTACAAGTTTGGAAATCTCGAGCAGAGGCTTCCTCCAGAGCAATTGAATGACGTGCTGAATAACAAGAGAGATAAAATTGTGATCAAAGGAGAGAACGACCAGGAAGTTGTGGAATACATCCAACAGCAGCAGCAGCTGCTGGACCCGAATCCGATCCTTCTTCGAGAGACCAATGGCGCACAGGCTCAACAACAAGTTGACGACGATGCTAAGAAAGCGAAACGGAAAACAGAGAGCATCGATACGACAGCTCCTCCGACGGCCAAGCGTGCGCGGGTCGAAAGCTCTCCTGCTACTCTGAAGCGCGGCGTTGAAGCTGAAAACACGCTAGTCGAGAAGAACTCATCCTTAGACGTGATCGAATCATCCCTCCAACTGAATGCACACAATGCGCAACTGCACACACTGGCACACGTCGCTGCTCAAGCGCAACCCGTTGCAGTTCCGGCTGTGTCGAGAAGTCCATCTGCTGCAGATGATCACGTGTCCCCGGTGACTACAGTCGCCGTGTGCGTCAGTCAGAATCCACCTCAGTCCTCGTCTTCATCCCCTCCCTCATCGTCGTCATCCTCATCATCGTCAGCCTCATTGGTGTCGACCATGTCATCGAACGCTGTCAATCCACATATCTCAGCTGCTGTGCCGAAGAAAGCTGCCCCAACGGTGACTACCAGCTGCACTGCCACCAAGCCGAGTGTCTTGGCCCCACCTAGTGTCAGTAATAATCAGGCTCAAAACATCTCCATATCGCACTTGCAATTACCTCAAATAGTGAGCAGTGTGGCTCAGCCCCCTCTTTCGATTGTCGTTCCGAATGGAATGACCGCTGATAAAATGGCCATGTGTAGAATTGGTAAGTACCATCGAGATAACCAATCAGCTCCCGCACGATTGAATCCGAACCCCGTCATTTCTGCCCGATATGCAATGAGACAGAGAACTGTATTCCTCCCCAGGTAATCCCTCCGCTGTGCCAGCCAATCCCAGCCAACAGCAGCATCAGCAACAGCCGCAACAGCAAACTTCTCAACAGCAAAGTCAACAACAGCAGCAGCATCAATTCCATCAGACCTTCCTCAATCAGCAATTGATACAGCAGCATCTGCAATCGATGCTGCAGCAAAACTTCCAGCCTGCATTTGCGCAGGGCGTCGTTGTGCAAAACTCAAATGGGACTGTTACAAGCATCGGAGGTCCGGCAGCTGCAGGCCTACAGCAACAAATGAGCTTCATTCTCCCGAATGGGGTGACTCTTTCCCCGGTGCAGACGCCGCAGGCTTCGACACATCAGCTTCAAGCTCATCATCAGTTACAGCTGCAAACGCATCAAGTTCAGTCTCTGCAAGCTTCCCAGCAGCAAGGTCAATCCCAGCAGCCCACGCTGGTCCTGAACAACTCCCCGATGAAGCTAATGCCGACGGGTCCGATGACTGCCCAACAACAGCAACAGCTGCAGCAGCAGCTGATGCAACAGCATTTCATTCAGCAACAACAACACTTGCAAATATTGAACTTCCAACAACAGCAGCAGCAGCAGCAGCAGCAACAACAACAGCAGCAGCAGCAACAACAACAACAGCAACATCAGCAGCAATTGAACTTGTCCCAACAACAACCTCAAATACAAATACAAAACAACAGGAAAGCTCCGAAGCCCCGTCCTCCGAAAATCAATCCCCGCAAGACGCCTCCTGCACAAATCGTAGTTCAAGCATCGAATGTTCTGAGTGCCTCGACTGTGACACTTCTCCCACCTGTGACACCGGCTGTTTCGAGTTCCCCAAGCGCTTCTACGGCAAGCACTTGCGCCTCCGCGACGAGCACGTGCGCTCCAACCGTTTCCTTGCCTGGGATTACCATACAACCAGTCGTGATGACAGCGACATCTCAACCGAAGAGCAATACGACTCAAATGCCGCCCGCCTCAACACAGCCGGCGCATCGATTGGCTACGGGTGTCGTTCATGCTGAAAGCTCAATGTTGTCTCAGGTTGGTTTCTTTCCCGTTCCGTGAATTTTCTCTCGTATTTCGTCCAAATCGGAGAGTCGTAGTCTCGAACTGTCGTTGATGCCCGGAAATTTTGCTTTCAGCTGAAGCCACCCGCAACGAAGAGCTCCGCACCGAATAGTCTGCCCGCGACGCTGGAGGTTACAATAACGCCCATAGAGTCAAAGACGGCGTCTCCGCCATCCGGTGGAACCCCGTCTCCGCCAAACTCATCTCCCTCCCTTAGCTCGTCGTCACCTTATGATCCTATGAAAAGACTACTCAGTCTCATGCCTCCCGATCACAAGGATGTCGACACAAAAACAAGACCCCCAACCCCCGCTTCTCAGGCGTCTGCGGCCAGCACCAGCTCCAGCTCGTCGACAACAACTCCGACCGTATTATCGAGCAGCAAAACGGTGCAACCTTTGAATCGCAAGCTCTCAATGACTCCAGGTTCTCCACCGAACTCTTTGCCGAACGCGAGCCAGGTCCAACTCCCGACGCAGGGGAATAGAAAACCTCACATTCCGATCGCGGCGTTGCCAAACCGCCCGATCGCGCCACGACCTGCCCAGGCTTCCACGGCCACAAATAACAATAACAACAAGAGTGCACTTCTATCCACTTCACAGCCGAAATCCCCCCCGCCGTCCCATCCGGCTAAGGGTCTGGGTGCTGTAGTAGTCAGTTCAGCTCCGACGCCGGCGTCGATCAAGTCGTAAAAGGAGGATTTGCTCTGTATCGCCCCTGCTCGGCCTCTGCTGGTTCCTCCTTCTGACTGATCGGATGCCAACTGGAATCCGACTGAAAATTCATTAATGTAAATATAACGCGATAACATCAGATACTGAGCAACAGCTGAGCGTCAAGGCGAGATAGAACTCTCTGAGATAACTGTACAAATTACGTTCGCTGCTCGTCCATTGAGCTTTGAAACTCCCAAAACCGAGCGCAAACTGGATCCCAATGACGTGTATCTATAAATATAGGTAGATCAGCCAGCTGATTGACCATGTTGTGCTGAAGACTCCTGACAGACGATTTTTCAGTGACAATTCACTTGTGCTCATGCTTGGATATACTTTATGGTCGAGAGAGTGTCTAGACTCGACCGAGTGAATTTCCCAGTAACTCTCCAAGTCTTAGCACTTAATTAGTCCGAGCCCATGGATGGAGAACAGGGATGGGCACTGCAAAGCATGAGACAGATCCAGATTGACCCGCGGTGCTAACTCTGTGAGTTGGTCGCGACCTGGCCACAGCCAGAAACAAATCCCGCAACTTCATCGAACACTGTCTGTATATTAGATGTTCAGAGTAAACACACATTTATCGACGGGAGTTTGACAGATTACTTTGAAAGATATATTTATTGAAAGGAGCCGGAAGAATAAACAATTGTCGCGGAGTAACAGCATTTCCTTCGTTAGACCATTCCTTGAGATAAATTCCTCACGAAAGGAAATCCCGGAGTCTGCGTCCTTGACAGCAAACAGACACTCTTGATGCTCCAGGCGCGATGTAACCCTGCACACCGGGCTCGCCGCAGGAGACGCAGATGACTTCGTTCGGAAGTGACTTGGACGATGATACAGTGAAACCACGTTGCAACGAAATCTACTACAGCAGAAAACTCAATCTGACGAATAATTCTCCGCAAGCTCTTTGACAGTATATCCAGAAAGGCAGTGCTAGATATTATTCCTCACAGCGAAATAACAGTTAAACTAGCAAAATTTCGGGTCCCCCAAAGGTTCTTTGTAGTGAGGTCTCACTTTATGTAGTGCAGGCGCACAGCATGCCGTGGGAAAGGCGCTGAGTGCGCTCCGGCCCGGGCATCAAACCACATCGAAAAAATTAAGAATAGCCTGATATGGAGCTTCATCGAGAAGTTCTTCGACATGAGAATTGAAAGCGAAAGGCATGAAAAAAATTGTATCCAAGGGAGGCATCGAATTGTGTTTCAGGGTCTTGGCATCGAGGACGTCAACCCGTGGCATCACGGAGGCACGGTACGCTGCTGAACAATGTAATTCGGATCGCCGGACTGCGTAGTCATCGTTTGCTCCAATCATTTATTCTCCGAAGTCTCGCCGCTCGGATACCACCTCAACCAAAGTCTTATCCCGATCTCCCCGGGAACAGAAACGGTTCAACTCTCGCCAAATTCACGCCCGGTGGTTCTTTACAAGATCCAATCACGCAGGACCTAAGATACTCGGATGTCCACGCTGACAGATGTCCCGTAGACTTCTCATTTCTGAAGTGAATTGGATTCCTCACATACCCTCTCCCCATCTGGACTCACACAGTTGACCTGATCCGTCTTCGACAGGGACAAGATGCTGGAGCTCTGCTGGAAGTACGCTTAGAGTCCCTTTATCGCCTCAATGAATCCCCGGGTGTCGTCGGGAAATTCGGCGCTCGGGGATTACAATGCCAGAGGATTCCCGAGTGATGAGTCCATGAGGATTCATAACATCGATTTGATGTATTCAACCAGGACGCGGAAGGCTGGGCGAAGGGGAACGATACATCCCTCCAATAGGTTCCGGGGCTCAGTTCCTTAGTCAGCTATCAATAGAATCTGTTTCATCAAAGCGAATCGATTTCGCTGGTGATATAATATAATGGAAGCATAGCATGATATAGCAGCCCGAGCTCAATCTTGGTTTGAGAGATTCGAAGGATAGCTCGGCTTATTGATTCCCAGATAGGAGAGCTCCGAATTCCACCGCGCGTCCTCTCGCGCACTCCCTGGGAATCCTCAAAGTGCAGTCTGGGGCTCGGGTTCCGTCCGTCTGTTCTTGTAATGCTCTTACTCGCGACAGGCCAAAAATATACGTGCGCGCCAAACCGCCGCGCGGGTGAGACGAGCTCCGGGGCTCGAGCGAGAGCGAATTTCGGAATCGCACTCGAACCAATTGCTGTCGGGTATCGGAGTGTGCTTCTGAGGCGTCTGTTAAAAATGAGCGCATTTCCACGAAACTACCACAATTATCTAGTCAATGATACGGAAACGAAAACGAATATCATGAACATGCTCGAGGCATTGATTCCCGTGATGAGGCCTAAGAAGGAATCTACAAGATTCGTTAGGATTTCAATCCTTGAGGGCACCTCTCCGAATCGACCTCGCGCTCCAGCAAATCTTCGGAGCGACTCTTTGGTGCCCGAACCGATTCGAGCCGCGATATCCATCCCTGGCAGGCAGCGGGAGCTTTCTGAGCAATTCTGATTGGACATCAGATCATGAACGAAGATTCACTGAAGTGCTTCTCTCGAAAGGCGTCGGCGTCGCGACGCCGTCGTTGTGGAGACGTACCACTCCTCACGCGGAAACCTATCTACAGTGGCGGCACCGACTCTTTTTGGGAACTGGAGAGCGGACTTCGGAACGGCTGGGGACGCTACTGGAACCGTCCCGCAGGAATACCTACCTAATGCTTATGACGGAAGCACTCACAATGAATGATCTTCCTTCATCAGTTCATAGAAGGCTCCCAATGCTATTCGGTGTCTAGAATGTTCCGTTGAGCTCCTCCGCGGGCTGTGCTCGAGGAATCATGCATCTGCATTTCTCTAAGAGATTCCCCCAGATTGAGAATTGCTTTAGCAGTGGGCGTCTAGGAAAACGTAGGCCTCGGAGGGGGGGGGGGGCGGCCCGACTTTCCCCCTACCCCGGGATCCGCTACTGATTTTCGAAGCATGGTTCTGTGGTCGAGCCCAATTCAGAAGTTCATTCTAACTTCGTCAAGAGAAGTGCATGTAGAAAGCTGAGTGAGTAAATGAAGCACTGGGTGGCAACATTGGTCTCGTACACATTGCACGTGGGCTGAGGGAGCAAGGTTGCCGAGAAACATCTTGATGAGTCATGCCCGACATCCCGGGAAAGCCAGAACTCCACCGGGAGACATCCCGTGATCCGCAGTAGCGTCTCGAG